AACAGCTGAAGCAAAAAAATCTACTGCTTTTCCTAGGTAGGTAAAAAGGGTTCATCCCGATATCTCCTAATTTGCTATCATGTTTTTTATAATTATTTGTGTGTGTGACTGTACTATCATTTCCCTTTTTTTTTTTTTTTTTGCTCTGGGCTCTGGAGGAACAAGTGATTTGTTTTCCAATTAAACTTCTGCAAAATGATCCAAAGGAAGAAAGCTCAGACGCCGTTTCGAAATAAACTTGACAAGGTCTTCTTGACGTTATTTTGCACATCCCTTTTTGTAGACTGAATTGAAATTGCTAAAAAAATAAAAAAAAAACCCGTCCCCCCCTATTTTTCTATACACAACCGATAAACAAAAAAAAATTTTATATTTATAAAAAAAAAAAAAAAAAAATTATCCCCATTTTTTATATTTTGATAAAATTTTTTTTAAAATTTTTTTTTTGTTTGTTTTTTCTATCATTTTCCTTTTTTTTTTTTTTTTTTTTGCTCTGGGCTCTGGAGAAACAAGTGATTTGTTTTCCAATTAAACTTCTGCAAAATGATCCAAAGGAAGACAGCTCAGACGTCGTTTCGAAATCAACTTGACAAGGTCTTCTTGACGTTATTTTGCACATCCGTTTTAGTAGACTGAATTGAAATTGCTAAGAAAAATAAATAAGAAATGGAAAATGAAATGGTAACTCCGAATTACAGTAAAAAATTCACTGTTATTTTGATTTCCTTTCTACTAGATGTAAGAGAGTTTGTGTACAGCCACAAATGTTGTATTTTCTGATTCCTGCGGCACAGATGGTTTATGCCATTTATGAAATCAGTTGTTTGGAACGCTACGCATCCAAATGATGATTTTAGTTTGTTTTGGGCGAAGTCTACATGGAAATCGTAAGAAAATTCTTACGATTTTGCCAATAGCAGATGGGGAAGTGACCAGTTTTCGCAAAACTTCATTCTTGTGGGGAAATCTATTTGTGCTGATTTTACCAGCTACTAACTACTGACTAGAGGATGGCAAACACTGCCTTTGAGAAACAGGGTCGACATATTAATTTATTTTCTGTTTTACCGGTATGTTCTCTATTACCGATTTCATTACTGTTTACTGCATTGATGACTTAGTGACAACAATTCACCTGTATACAGAGAGTTTTTGAATTACTATGTAAGTATATAATTAAATATATATTTTTACCTGAAACAGAGAAAAATGCGAAATAGTTAATCTGCTCGTAGTTTACCTCCCTTTTGAATGCTTCGTGATTAACAGAGAACAAGTCATTTCAGATCTCCCCTCACAAAGTTTTCTGTTTTGGAAGGGTTGACATATCGTCAGTTGTCTCTTCAACCCTGCGTTAAAAGTCTTCTTGCCCATTGCCTGCAATAAACTAAAAAAAATTCAAATTTCGTTCTGCTGGTCAAAGTTAAGTATTTGAGCTCGGAATTTTCAGTGTCCAAATTGTCCATAACAGTTACCAATTTTAGCGTAGTATGTTGGTCTACTTCCATTCAATTTTTATTTCTATTGTCATATAATTTGAATGCAGATGGGAGGTAAAAACTGCAAAGTGTGTTAATTAGTTTACGATCGCGAAATTGAGTATTCCGGAGAAGAAGCTTAATTGCTTTACATGGAAACTCCGCTTCTTTTTTTCATTTGTAATAGGTCCTTTTTTTAGTTCTAAGACGTTTAGTTTAATGAACCATTTTTGTTTCACTCCAAGAAAATTATGAACTTTTTTACTTATGTGGGTTTAAGATTTAGCGGGTCGGTAGAGGGGATAGTTTATACAGCACGTCCAACAGAAGAGGAAATCAGACTGCTTCGAGGTTCAACTGTGTAAACATGAGTTTCGAAATGTACCATTGTTTGTAAGCAAAGTGATGCTTTTTCAAATACATAATATTTGCAATTTCCTGTATTACTATCTCAATCTAGCTTTTTTACGGGACACCTATATTCTTCTTTGTACAGACCCTTCCCAAAGCGAAACAAAGACCAAGACATGTGATTATAGTAATGATTCGGACAAAGCTGATGATCGAACGAACTACCTTCTCTCATTCCAGGCGGCCATTCAACCATTTATTTGAAAAAAGGTGACATATGTAAATAGACAAGTAATGTTTCACTATTAGGTCAAATATTTTGTCACATTTCGCTTTTTTAAAGACATTCATTTATCTTCTCTCGCCTTTCGCCGTTCCAATAACATTCTAAGCTTTTCTTCAATTTGCAGATGACGGGGGTGTGAAAGGGCCCGAAATGATTTTACAGCGTCTCCAAAGTTTCACCCTTGAAAGTTCCCCTAAAAATTATTATAATGATAGATTTTTTGCTTTAAAAATGATTCAAGAAATTCATCTATTGGAATAGGAATACTTAAATTACCGAAAACATGACATATGTTCTCGCTTGATATTAATGATCATAGAAACCGTGAAATCACTTCTTGATTTTTATTTCCAGTGAATAATAAAGTTAACCACCGATCTCGAAAATGAGATAAAAATAAATGTAAATATTGAGATACTGTTAAGAGAAAATAGAAACACAAATTTCACTGCCTGGTTGTCATACCCAAACAGCAAAAGTTAAATCTAATGCAAAACAACCTCTAAGTTATGCCTTAATGTATTCACTTTTATTTACTGTTTAAAGAATCTTACATATTTTAGCGATGAGGAATATTACGAACCAAGAAAATCCATTACCTCGAGGTGAAACTGTGTAAATAATGGCAAACAGGTGACAAAAATTCTATTTACCTAAAAAGATGATTAGAAAAAGAAAAAAATTCAAGCTTATCAAAACTAGCAACTGGCATGGATTGTCAACGCACATTCAAAAAAGTCAGATCTCTTTCTCGGATTCTACTTCTGGTCGCCATCTTGCTCAGCTTGTCACGAAGAAAGGTAATTCAATTTAGTCTTGTTCAAAATACATAAAAGCGTACTCTAGCCAGTGGTTTTTTCCCTTTACTCAGAAACAGAATCCGTACGTTTTTAGAGGACGTTTATGGAGTTTTCATTGATGGTAAATTAATCAAGAAACCTCGAAACCGAAATTAAGTATATCTATATTAGTGACAAGGGCAATCCGTTGTCCTTGACGGCCGAAAATGTTGCGCCAACAGCGTACTCAGAGGAAAAACTGTGTTTGTAAGTAAACCATGTGTGGAAAACCCTATGGCAGCGTTAAGTATCTACTTTCGTTGGTAGGAATACAGCCGGATTTTTTTTAAAAAGTATACTAAAAATGTCTTTTAAAATACCCACATCAATCCTTTTCCCCTGACTAAGAGGTGTATGGCGTTTCAAAACCTGATATCAGCTTTAAAAAAGTTAATTTGATTCATCAGATATCGCATTCTTGACTAGAACATTTTATATATGGTGTTATGCATTGTACAGAATTCTCTGTGAGTATACGAACATTATATATTGTTAAACTTTGCCTAATTTCACTGAATATGCGAATTTAGACAATATCACACACACACACACACAAAATGAAGAATTAAAGGAACAAGAAAGAAATAAATTGATGTGCCGAGCTTGTAATTTTCAAAAAAGGGAAATCAAGCATTTGTGCATATGCATATACATATCCTTCTGTCATGGGGAACACTAAGAATTACAAAGTACCTGTCACCTGATAGAGGCTTACATGCTACAGTGTGCTAGTCGTTTAATGATCCGAAGCATTCGGATGGTAAAAACACAAACTGCCATGTTTGTACATTGTCTTGGTAATTTTTAATGGGTTTGGACGTTTTTTGAAACACTTTCCAACCGTGTTTACAAAAGATATTTCAAAACTCATGAAATATTCACAATTAATGATTAAAGACGGGAGACGATGCTTTTAAAATGAGTTCTCGCATTATAAAATTATTCCAGGTTTAGAAATACATGTCCAGAGATGAATATATCCCTCCTCGTTATTTACCGCTGATAACCCAAGCGTTTGGCAAGTGTGGGAAACAATATACCCCAATCATCTTTTTTAGTGTTTTATTTTGTCAAGAAAAAACTCGTTATCTATGCGAGTTAGCTTAATCATGATTTTTTTTAGATGAAAAACACATTTTGTTTGTATTATTATTAAATGTATGTTTAGGATTGTCACCACAGGCAAAAACCCAAAGATGCATCCTTGTGGTCCTCGCATATAGTTTATTTAAACGGATGAACTGATCTTGGTTTACCTACCATCGGAGCCCAAGTGGGTATGGGTGGTGTAATAAATGCCAGCTCTCGCTTAGGCAACGCCACAAGGAACCAATGATATTGATTAATATATAAGGGAAGCGTGAAACCAGGTCAAAAGAAAGCATTATAAGTGGACAAATAAGTTGACATCGAACGATGAAGCATGCCATTCACCGATTTACAGAAGACGTACCTTTTCAGAATTAAATAAAGCGCCTGTTTCTCGTCATCATCATAACTACCAGAGTGAAACAAGCGATTGTCTGCAAAAACTACATCCATCACATTCATGATCTCTGTCAGTGCTTACCAATTGGAGCAGTTGTAGAGTTACCTGTTTGATGCAGGTCTTAGACGGCGTGGTTTTACGAACAGGGGGCGTCAAAAAATCCTCTGCTGTTGAACAAATGTGAAATTTATAGTAATAAAATTTCTGCCTGTGCGCAAGTTGGGTACTTTTGGAAATGCATCAATGTCCAACTGCTATTATGACCTTTTTAAAAATGAGCTAGTTGTCTCAAAATTAACTCTATATGCTAAATTCCCCTTTTGGAAAGGCAAAATAGATGGAAAACCTGACTTACACTTTCCAGATTCCAACAAACTAGAAAGAGATCTTGCCTAATACTTTTTGGGATTCCAAAACAACTAGGGTAATTTCATTTTAAAACCTTAGCGAGCTTTTCATTGGCAAAACCGAAATCAAATCTGATTACTCTTTAATCCAATTTTTAAACGGATGTTGATTTTCAGAACAGTGTGAGTTTTTAATACATTTGTTCTCAAATGATGTTTTCCGCAGATAATCTCACCATGAATAACAGCACTGCATTCGATTTTAAGCCTCTCGATGCAAGAGGTGATGACGAGCTTCCTGTTGTGCCAGTGGTAATCATTTTGTCATTTCTCTCATTCGGTTCAGTGCTTGGCAACAGTCTTGTGGTCATCGCCATCCTTATCCATCCAGCTCTTCACAGCGTCACTTATCTATCGATCTTCAGCTTAGCAATTGCAGATCTCCTGGCTGGAATGGTGGCTATGCCGAGTTACATTTTAAAAAAGTTTTCCTTCGGTGATCCCATGGATATCATAGTGTGCGATGTCTTCCGTTTCTCATATTTCCTCACCGGCTATGCCTCAGTTCTTAGCCTTGCTGTCATCAGCATAGAGCGCTTGCTTGCGGTGAAAACGCCGCTGAGAAGTACAACCGTCGTCACACACCGTCGAGTAATAATGGGCTTATTGATTGCGTGGTTTGACGCGCTCGTGATTTCGTCCCTTCCGTTTGTTCCCTGGGATTCGAGCGATTCTTACAAGGAATGCAACTACAACCCGACTCGTTGGTGGAGTATTATGGTCATCATAGCTAACGTTATTTTTCCATTTTTGGTGATTGCCACATGCTATACTTATCTGTATCTGATAGCCAAGACCCACATCAAAAAGATATTAAGTGACAGAAGTAGTCTGGGTCATGGCACTTCCAAAATGCCTAAACAAAGAAATGAACGTCGAGCAACTATGACTATATTCATTGTCATTGGGGTATTCGTGGCTTCCTGGTTTCCATCTTGTTTCTATTACTTTTTTCAAAAAACCTGCCCACAGTGTTTCTCTGAGTCTTTTCGATCAAAGCATCAAAGTATTTTTAACGCTCTTGTAAAGATTTTGACTTTCACATCATCCTTTGCCAACCCCTTGATCTATTGTTGGAGAAGCAAGCATTTCAGGAATGCTTTTCGAAAGATTTTATCAAACATTTCTCGGCGTTTTGCCAAAGATTATAACAGTAATATATCAATGGAAATGTCTCGCTATGGGGGCAGCACATTCAGCAGTGAGGCAGTGAATGCGCCAAGACTACAAATGGGAAATGCTGTTTCGCCCGAAAACGGCATCCGAAGAAAATCTACAGGAATTAATGAACACAATTTGCACAAGCGGACGACGGATCTTCCCGCAGACCATCGCAATAACAATCTTACTCTAGAGTAATAATACTAAAGAATTAAGCGATTAAACTAGCTACATTGCAAAACAAGAATAGAGCCGTGGCTTGGGTGGCTGCCTTCACTCTTGTCCAGGGCCGAGGGTCACGCCTGAAGGAATAAAAAAAGAACACACACATAGCGTGGCCAACGTTGCGGCCCAAGTTAAATTGAACACGATGCAAAGGCAAATTATAACATTAGGATAAGAGTTTGTATTATAGTGCGATAGGGAACAAGCCACTATCACAGCCATATGTCTTAAGAGAGTAAAGGAATCGATAGCAATTCTAAACATGTAAAATAATGTTATGTAAAAATATTTTGTTCGAGCATACATACAGGTGGGATGATACCTGAGCTCCAAGGTCAACGTAAAGCCTTATTATGACCGAGCGCGTAGTGCAAGGTCAATATTTTTAGATGGACTAGGAACGAGTTTATTCTCCGATTTAATGTATCTTCTTATCCATTTAGTATCAGTTGGTCGTTACCGCGATCAATGAAGTTTAACAGGATGTCATTGTCCAAGACAAAATGATCCTTGATCGAAAAATGACCTACCCTTGAATTGTTTGAGGATTACCTGTTTAAAACTATGTAGAGGTGCATTGATCTTGTGACAACAAATCAAACTTTGGCTTTCACTGGCATGGGAACGTGACAGGAGGGTCATAATCTAATAAATGGAGTCGTATAATATTCAGGTAACAGATGCCTCTCATGTGTCTATTTACTTTAATTATGTTTAATGTTAATGCTGTCAATCTTTGAGATTCTGAAAACATTCAATTTGAAAAGTTATCAACACGTTAGTTCAGTGTTATAATAGGGAGCTTAAGCAACCACGACGGCGTCAGCAACGAAAAATTCACTTAAAAAGTGCATTTTAGCTGTTTCAAACTTCATCGCTTCTATTAAACTTCGTTTGTAAAATGCTGACGAATTTTTCTGGAGTTAAGTCCCATGTGTGGATCTGCCTACGATGTGTATTCACTGAGCTTCCATTTTCAGAGAGCAATCAAGATGAAAATGTTGACGACCATCTCAACTGTGGAAGGACTGCTGCGCCTAGCAATGCTGTAAATGATAGCGACGTCCACCTTTAAGCTCTTTTTTCAAGAGCCAACCAAATGAGAATCGCTCACCTGAAAACAAAGAGTATGGTCTCAAGTTTCGATGAGTTACAAACCACACTCGCGGAGTATCTCATCATCGACAGGCCTGACTATTACCAAAACTTGGATGAAAAATAACCGTTATTTACTAAACTATGTAGCAATCCTGGTTAAAAATGTGTATTCCGAGACCGATATGAAATTCGAGGGGATGGTGTAAGCGCCTACTTACATGACTTGGAAAACGAGGATCATCAGCTTTAGCACCAATGGCTAGAGATACTGGGACGTAACAGACATAGCATATCTACTACTCCGCACACTATAGCGCTTAGAACGGATGTTTGATTATAAAACATGGATGGAAAAATCTCCTTGATAATAATATAACGATGGATTGGGATGACGTTCTACTTATTATGGGAGATATCAACATTGATTTGCTTCCGCACTATCACGCAACAAGACCTGTACAGTACAAGAACATGTTAAATTGCTTCAATCTCCATCAGCATGTTCAGCGGCCTACTCGTGTCAACCGTCACCGTTACCTAAGGCTGACAATCCAAGGGAATATGACTATTATAGACCAATTGCTTTATCCCACCTACCCGTGCTCTCCATTCTACTTACATTCTATTTTGATACTCGCCCCCGTCCTCAGTCAAAATCGGAACGAATGCAAGTGGTGTATACTTTCTGCAGCCGTCTGCAAAAACGAGTCCGGTGACCTCCATGCCATTGGTGGTTACACTCTGGATTCACTAATTGGTCTTGCCTAGATAATAAAATAAAACAAAGCAATTTTAAGGCATTTCCTAAAAAGGAAGGCATCAACCCAAATAAGGAAGATGACCCTATAAGGCCATAGGGCGCCATACGCACGCCAGTCATATTCCGTTTTGTTTAGTGTACTGGTGAGGCGCGAAAACGTCTTGGGACTGTTCTAAATTCCCTAAAGGGAGCCAATGAATAGGATGGCTTTCCAGTCGCGCGCTCGCAGAACTACACGAAGCTGTGCTTTTAGCGTTCATACCCTCAGTGAAGGTTCTGTGAATCACTCAGAACAACAGCCTGTTACCCTGACTGAAGACCTTGTGGATCAGGTAGCTCTGTAGAATGCGGAAAAGGAATATTCCCGAGATGGAAAACCCCGGTTTCAAACGAAGTTCCTTTTCTGTCGAACTCGTCCAGCTCGAAGTACTCTTCAGTTGTGGACATGCGGTCAACAGCTTAAAGATATCTATCTTGATATCGAATCCCGAACTCCACTGGAGAACAAGAACCAAGCTGAACTTTCTAAACAGTTCCAAAACTTGATCACTGGCTCGTTTCGATCGTGGGAAATGATAGCTTTGGCCAGCTGTGCTTGGAGAAGAACTTGCAGTCCACTTTGAGCAAATGTATGGATGCAAATGAAACTTTATGTATTTTGCTCCAGCACCTGCAGTCCGATCCTGGCTCTTTAATTGAGCGTTCAACAATAGACCTTATTTCAAAGAGCCTCCGCTGGCTTGGGCTTGGTGTAGCCGCAATCAACAATCAGCGTGTAGACAAGAAACTGTTCAGTCTTGTAATATTAAAGACGTAACTCAACTAGCGAAACATTCTGACACCATACAGAATGAGAGTAAGCTTTTGGAGAGAGGGTGAGGCTTCGGAACTTATCTTTGGGGGCGATCTTACCGAACAAGTTTCCAAGGCCGAATCAAGAAAGAAATCAAGCTCAAGTAAAGGCAAAGCTCCTTGCAAACAACCCATCATCTAATGAGCACCAGTCTTTTTGGATGGTTCCTTTCTTGGAAAACCGGAACGGGCAAGCTATTAATCAGAACAATCCAGCCGCAACAACCCTAAAAAGAAGACTTCAGTGCAAACGGTCTTCAACCCAATCAAGTTCCAAGATAAGCTCGCTAGATATATTTTGTTTGTTTTCCTCGTTTTCCTCGACCATAGAGCATTTATTCACAGAACGTGGCAGGAAGGGTGCAGTTCTTCATTCAGAATTGGCAAATAATTACACAAGACCCATGGGTCTTAGAAACCGTTCAGAGTTACAAAATAGAACTGCAAAACGCCCTTGGCAGCCCAGAATGCCTTTTACTCCCGGTAATGTCACAAACCTGTCTGACTGTCTACTGGTAGAAGAAATAAGGAATCTTATTGAGAAAGGAGCTATTTTAGAGAGTTTCTAGTGTTTCTAGAATGGGTGGGCCGACATCTTTAAGATTTTGAGAACTAGAAAATTAATCTGGCACTAGAAAATCAGTGTTGTTGTCTGCTTTGATACGTACCATTTCCACGCCAGACCACTTAATTTCTTAGACGCTAAATGCGTCTAGACGACTTTAACGTCTCTATAGAAAAAATAAAGACCATTTTGACGTTCGAGTGCAACATGGACCGAGCGACTCTTCAGCTAAAATTCGACCACTTCAAAAGGTTCCCATTCCCTGACATAAATTTCGATTAAAACAAAGGCATTGTCTACGGTAAGGGGACAAAGAAAAAACCGTAATGTATGCATAATTAATTTGTTTACCGAGGAAAAAAGAAACATTTTAGAGCTCATACACTCATCGAGAGAAAGTGAATTGATATGTTGGTATTGGCATTATTTCTATGTCGGTTTAATTTACTCTATGGTCAACTCTCTCTAAAAGGGACACCTTTGGGACCGGCACTTAGTGTCCATCTTAGGAGAGATGTCCATGTTATAAAGAGTCAGGATCATTTTACGTTTCTGGGAAACTGCCAACCTACCTCTCCCCTAAACTAACATTAACACTTAGTTCTTACTTAGAGCAAATGTTGGCTTAGGGGAGGGGCAGGTGGCCAGTTTCACAGGAACATAGAATGATCCAAGAGTCAAATAGAGGGGCCAAAAAAAGGCAGGGACAAACTCTGAGTGTCCATTTAACAGGGTTGACCGTTTTATAAAGGAATCCGTTGAGAGAGAGTCGACTGTATGTTTTTTTGCCTCTAACTACTTGTTAGAAACTGATTTTGTCAGTTGGTTCCTCGAAAATTTGAAATTCAGGTAGTCCATATATATATATCAATTAACCAATTCCCTATTACTCGATCTCCAAAAGTTTCATTCACGAGATGTGGGGGTAGCGAAAAATTGAAAATAAAACTATATATAGGGGAAAGTCATTTTAATTCAACGGAAAAGGAAATGAAAAGAACAAGAGACTGAACCGGTAACATTAGGTAGACATGCTGAGCTAAAGAAAAGACAGCAACAAGAGAGAAAAAGACGGTAATGATTACATACACTATATATATTGAAAGTCCTTATAATAACTAGTAATATTTCTAGAAATCTCATTTTTTTTGCAAGTGGACAACTAATTTAAAACAAATTTCCAGAGAGGCAACATAATTGTGACCGTCCCTGATTGTAAGGTGTAACTGTAATTTTTAATTTATCTTGCCATGAAAGCACCTTAACGCCATGGCTATCGTAAACATGCTGAGCTATGGAACTGGTACCAACCAGGGAGAAAAAGACCGTGACGACACGTACTGTCCTTTTATTGTATTTCGTTTGGTGCTGAGAAATCACATTATTTTCTTTGTACCTGTACCAGGTTCCCAGAGAGACAAGATAATCTGTCTGTGTTCGCTTCAATTGCCAGCGAAATTTCGCTAATGTACAGTTTCATTCTGGCGAAATTATTTTCTTCGCACATGAAAAACATAAAAATGGTTCCTAGAGAGACAAAACAACCGTGACAGTCCCTTTTCTATGTTTTATTATTTCATGAAAGTGTTATAAATATATTTACAACCTAGAAACAATAAAACAATTACAGGCTTATTTATTTTGCCTTAAAACTAACATTGGCGCCATGTTTAGATGATGAATAAACCCAACATGTTTTTTTCAAACCGGTCATCATGTGTGTTTTACATCAACTTGATTATACTTCCATGGTGCTTTGTTAAAACAAGAAATGGAATGTAACAGGTCACTGATCGTGATTCATGGTTGATATGGTATACTTTTCAGGCGCAACCTGTTAGACTCTTATTTATTACGGATCTCATATGTCCATTTTGTCACTTCGCCTTGACAGTCGGAACTCAGGTAAGAAGTCCTTTAGCTCAAAGTTTCCCAGGTCGTGCGTTCACATTGCATCCATTATCACTTTTACCGCGATTGGTTGACGTTTTAAATTTCCTTTTTCCTTTCAGCATCAGGGATCACGAGACAAAATATCTATCAACCAACAGGATTTGTAAATACAGCAGTTACAAAATGTAAGAAACACTACTCAGAATTCATCTATTTGACATTTTTTTTTGTTATTGTTGGTAGGTTTATTCAGTAACTGACAAATATTTAAGGACACAAGGCAGAAACAATTAAAAGAATCGGATTCGTTAGAAACACGTAAAAGCTGTTTATGTTAGGTACTAGATTTGTCTTGTTTTTCATGGTCACGTTTATTTCAGTCGACTAAAAACAAACGGAAAAATGCCAAAAGCGTACACTGTACCTCCCCACGAAATCCTGCCCAATCTTGTTTTTTCTTCTCGCCTTACTATTTAGTGCTATGAAGTACTTATAAAAATTAAACCCATGACAAACACACACACACAAAAAATATCATTCAGTTTTTGAAGGTCATAAACGGTCTTTATGTTGTGCTTTGGTCTTTTTTTTTTTTTTTTTGGTTTTCATTGTCTTGAGAACACGGGAATAAAACAAAATCGTAGTGGAATAATTATAGTGTAAAACATTGAAATAAAACTTGACTACAACAGCAGGCACCAAAGCGAAATACCTGACTAGCCCTGATGAAATGTTATTCAAAACTTCGGTGAACAATTTCTCTTTTGCTACCACGCATGATGATTTTAGTTTCCTTAATTGCGGTTTGTTCAAATCTCTTTTAAATCAATTTTCTTTACTTTTCTCTCAATTGCAGCAACTTGTAATCGAAACCGTCAAACTAGACAGTTTCAGGACAAACTAGTAAGAGATACAAATGGGCGTTTAATAACCAGTCAGGTTCAAGCAAATTGTTATTGACATTTCTTTATTTACAGTATCCTTAACTGTCCACTATGCCTCTGGGGGCTTATTCATTTCAAGCACGGGGTGAAATTAGAGACAGGGGCTAGAAATAGAGGATTTACAATACATTTCAAAAGGTTGAGTTTGATCGTCCGGGTGAACGTAGTCCTGAATAGGACTGTTGTTGTTGACAGTGACTGACGTTTCGACAACCTGTGCGGTAGTCATCTTCTGAGTCAAAGTGAGTTGTATCACGTCAATTGATGGTATTATACTCTGGTTATTGATCTGATTGGTCAATTATGTCGCGATGTTATTGGTCGTCTGTCAGTTAAGTCGCACCAATCACTGATTACGAGTCTTCATAGCCAATAACATCACGGCTTAACTGACAGACAACCAATAACTTCGCGACATAATTGACCAATCAGATCAATAACCAGAGTATAATACCATCAACTGACGTGATACAACTCACTTTGACTCTGAAGATGACTACCGCACAGGTTGTCGAAACGTCAGTCTCTGTCAACAACAACAGTCCTATTCAGGACTACGTTCATCCAGACGATCAAACTCAACCTTTTGAAATGACTCCTGGGTTCAAACCTTTCACAGTTTTACAATACATCAGAGTTCAGACGCTTGCGAATACGAATTATTACAGGAAAATACACTAATTCGCGTATAAAAGAGAGATTTCCCAAATAAAGATACCAAACAGTAACAAACAACTTAAAAGAGGAGCCTAAATTTCATCCTGTTACTTCGACCTCGTTATTACTCCCTCAGTAACGTCTGAATCGACCGGCCGTTGATGCCGCCCAGTGACGTCACTACCCCTTTACTTTAATTCACGCAAAAAAGTGAAACACGATTTTCAAGTGGTAAACCAAGAAATATCGTTCGGAAATGTCTACATAATACAGAACAGCTGACAGAATTGCTTTACTCTTTTCGATCGTAATTCACGTTTAACGTCCAAACTATCAACTGCATGCAGTACTCTGAACCGGCTGTAATTCAAACTCGGTCGTAATCACGCAATGAAATAAGTATACACACGGAACATTTTATAGTTCAAAAACACAACAATTTCCTTTAATTGAAAAGAAGCTATTTGGTCTTTAACGAAGAAAAAAAGAAAACAAAGAAACAAGAAAGGAAAGCTAACAGAAGGATTACAATTGACGGTGAAAACAGCAAGAAGGTCGAATGACATTATGACATTGGTTTCAAAAACTTCGCAAAAATAATCACTGCGGACACCATAAAGCGGCTCTAAATGAAAAACCTACCGACTCTCCGTAATGATTCTTCATTCGCAGTTCAATTTAGCAATTCAGTTTCGATTTTTTCAATTTAGCAATTGCTGTTTACGATAAAGATTATCGAAATGTTTGAATTCCTCGAAAGAATGCCACCGGTGCGATCCGCTGAATAGCAAGCGACAATCCTGCTAAAATTTCTCATAATTATGCATAATTATGCGAATGTTTAGACAATGAACCAATCAGAATCACTACCCGTTTTTCGGGTAGTAGTGACCTTACTGGACGGCATTAACGGCTGATCGATTAACATGTTGCTGAGAGGAGAAAACGACTCCAAGCAATCGGATGAAATTCAGGCATCTTGAAAGGGTTAATGCAAAGGTATTCTTAGGATCAAAAATGTTGTTTTTGTGACAACAGGTCCGTCAAGAAGGTCATATTATTGCTGATATCTGTACATGCATATCTTGCACCTGATGGTAAGTAGTGGTTGTGATAAAATCATCCTAAAAATTGAAGCTTCTTCTACCTTTAGATTGTTAACTCGACTAATATGACTCTTTTTTCAGTGAACGCCAGTAAGGAGACAGCTAAGGAGATGAAAATTGGCCCATTTACTGCTTCAGGTATCAGGGTAGCAGAAAGGGGCTACCTTTGACTCTTATTTCGTCGTTAGCCTTTAACTGAACCACCAATTATATAACAAATCGTTGGACATAAACAGGTACCTCAGTTACCAAAATATTTACCCGTTCTAAGACCCAGCCTCGTCCACAGGGAAAAGAGCCCAGGGGACGAGGGTGTCTAAAACATTAACACGATGGTCGGTTGCAAGGGCTTTTCCTCCCGCAACTCACCCTCTTAAATTCACTTTTAATTTTGGCTCACAGAGGAGTAGTTTATGTTCCAAATGAAGCAAAACATTAGAACACTTTAGTTAGAGAAAAATTGTCGTTAAATTTTTACTATTGTTAACGTAAAGTATTTGTGACGTTTCTTGAAGTATGACGTCATAAGTGACTCCCATTTTTAGTAACAACATTTAGAAATTTGAAAAGCGGTGTTCTAAGCGTTACAGACATTTTTGCTACACAAAAAGAATATTTATAGTGAAAACCCCATAAGAATCGGTTAAAATGGCGTGAAGTTAAAGCTAATTAAAGAAAATCAAATTTATCGCCAAATGACCATATATGGTCAAAATTTAGCGGTATTTCATTGTGACATCATAATGACCTATTTCGTGACGAAAAAACGTGTCATAGCACCACATACAATAATGAAAAAAAACTACAATTTTAATTTTATCTAACTTTTTCCTTGCTCCTGTGCCAATACATTCGTTATCTCGCGTTTAAAATACCCCTAATTTGACCATATATGGTCGTTTGGCGGTAAATTTGAATTTCTTTAATTAGCTGTAACTTTACGTCTTTTTATCCGATAGAGATGGGGTTTTCACCAGAAATCATATAATTCTATACAGAAAACTAATACGAATTTTTACGATTTCTTTCTTGAATTTTTATTCTGATGCCAAATTTGGACATCATTTATGACGTCATAATAGCTGTCACATGGGAGGAAAAAAAACAGTTAACAGGTAATTTATCAACCTTCGTCCCTGCCGAGTTTTGTCACATTCGATGTATTCTACCTCTGTCTGTGGCCTAAAACTGTCAGTTTTGAGAGGTATGTGAGGAAAAGCCCCAAGCAACCGATTACTGTGTAAAGACAAACACGGACTGAAGAAAGGCCTTGGTACGCCTTGGAACCCAAAACTACTATCAAAGCATAATTCACAATGTCTTGATTTCTCTTCTTCTCTTCTAACATACCATGTTAACCCTATTCAAACCGGGGGACGTTTGGAGCCTCGTGAAAAAGTTAAACAACTTCTAAACTGTTCAGGCTATGACCACCAAAGTCCTCATGACGTGTCCGTCAACATGGACGTAGCCATAGTTACCGAACTTTGATAACTATGTTTTTTCGGAAAATTTGGATTTTTACTATAAAAAAGCTTTTATTTCTATGTTTACTTATTTAATTCTTATATTAAATTCATCATAGCATTAGTTTATAAAATTTATTATAAATAACTGCTGAATGTAATCCAGGCGTTTTGGTGAACAATTTGGGTGAAAAAATGAATTTAAAATGACTAAATAACAGATGCTTAGTTCCGTTTTTTACAGTGTTCGTTTATTTCGGATTTTCATAACTTGGAGTTTTTACATCGTTTGCATCGTTTTATACACAGATAAGACTTCCTGTCACGAATTAACTTCGATTTATATGGGTTTTAAGAAAAATGGAATGCATTTCATAGATTCAAGATAGCGGATTCAAGATGGTTTCATTTCCATTTACAATAATAAACGACGTCATCGAGACAGGAATACTATTGTTTAAGATTATCTGTGTTTTAGCTAACTTCTTGATTTTATTAGATAAATCACTATTTGTGTATTTTTTTTATTTATGGCTACTTTGAGAGGAATTTAGATTTTGTCTATAAATTCAGCCACATGACGTCATAATGGCGTAAAAATACGTTATTGTGTCAATCATGTTGTGCCTAGATGCTGCAAGTGATCAGTACATTATTCTGTGTAATTTTAGTGGCCATGTCATGAGCGGTTTTGAAGTTATAGAGGGGATCCCCGTAGCTTGATCTTTATAGGGTTAAAACAATGCGAAAAGTATCCGGAGTTTAAAGGGTGTAATTCTTATTGCTGTCGTCAAAATGCATAAATTTAACAGTGATAGGATTTGCTTTCAGCTTTTGCAGTTGGCATTTTCATGGGGCTTCTTGCAGGAATTGTTTGAAGTATCAAATTTCACACGTTGTCAGGATTATTATTAATGTTATTATTATCATCATTATTATTATTATTTATTCTTACTGCTGACCCTGCTGGCCATGCACTTGGATCAATATATACTTTAAGCTTAAGTCCGGACTTTTACTTTGGAAAAGGGATTTCAAAAGCTCTTGATCTGCATACTCGGGCCAAGCTTACGACTAGAAAAAAATCATAGGATGTCAAGACATGTCCCGCCTCTAAAACAGCTAAATTTTTTTCAGTGTTAGTTGACATCATCACAAACAACACAGTACACCACAAACTGCACTAATTTACACCCAAGACCTACCAGTGACCTACTGGCGAAAGCTAAACCAATGCCCTTGTACATCGTCTTAACCTTCAATATTATTACCCTAAAACCTCCACTGGGTCAGTTGCCGCCAAAAAATAATTAAAGGAAACTTTTTATTGGTTTTCGGGATTTAATTACAGAATTACAGGTGCATACCCAATGCAGTATTAAAGTGCGGTAAAGCAACAAGATTCAATGCTCACAGTCTCTCACAAATACCTGTCATTAAGCTTCCTCTAAGCGAACTTTGAGAGGAATAATATGGGGTTCCACTAACTCTGAAGAGCTGAAAATACGCACAATGTAAAGTATAATACATCCTTTGATGAACCTCCTATTGCTGTGTCTAAACTCCTCAATCTAGCTGTGCGCTGGCCCTCAAAAGTGTGACCGGTCGGTATAACTGCCCGTAAAATTTGCTCGACGATAGAAAGAAATCTTTAAAATTCATTACTCCACCGGACATTTCATTCCAATAAAGTACTTAAGTCTAGTTTTCTATGACAATAGAAATCTTAAGATTTCCAGTATTTCCGTGATAAAATCGAAATTTTCATCCGCCTCTTCGATGAACACTTTGATCGCCATTTTGAAAGTTACTGACGTGAGACGTGACGACATACTGGCAGGCGACTGTACCACAGATTTCCTTGGAGACACCTTCCCCTCCCTGCTTGAACCTAAGTCGAATTTTCGACTGTTTCAGTCGCAGATTCGACAAATTCCTATTTAATTTGAAACTGTCGAATTTAGTTGATTCAGACATACCATCTCAAAGTAGTTACTTCAGTCTCGAATTAAATTAGGCACATGTGAAAATCGACGATTGAGCTAGGTAATAATAACAGTATCTAGAACCACTAAAAATACTAGTAGATACGCTATTATACATACGGCATTTTTTTATATTCTGTAAACTTTGCTTTCAATTTACCACGTTATGTTACAAGGTTACGAAAAATTTGCTTCAAGGGGATTCGAACCCGGACCCTGAGAATCAGCTAGAGCTAAAAGTAAGAACTTCTATCCATAGGACTTCCTCGGTAAAACGCTGAGAATTAGAGTTTAAAAGAGCTACGTATTCCTTTTCTATGGTGATTGTCCGTTTTCAAGAATGACTGTTTAGTTTTTTTTTTTTAATTTCCGTGTAGAATTAAATCTTTAACTGATCGAAGCTAGACGTAAGCTCACAATAAACCCATGAATACTCTTTCAGACTTGATCCATGCCCGGAAACGTTTAAGAATTAATGAACTATCGATAGCACGGTCCCCGACTGAACCGTACGATTCTCTCCCTGCGCTCGCAAGGTATCTTTTCATCTGTCGGGGCCGGAAAACATTAACACAACATTGTCCATCATTATTTCCATCGTTTTAGGTTAGGGTAGCAAACCATTTGGCTTTTGGGGTTAGAAGAGCTGGTACATGACCTCTCTCTCTCCGAAATGAAGAAAAAAAATATGGGCGCCAAATACATCCTTTTAGTCTTTAGAAATCTCCTTTTAATTATTAACAAACGTTGAACATTTATTTCGGCAAACAAACAGTTAAGTTGGAAAAGGCTTTTACAAAAGTCTCAAGCGAAGGTCTTATTTTGAATTTTAACTTGCAATATCGGTCAATTTATGCAACATTTAAACTTCTGGCTTAGTTTTCGTTTAGTTCTGCTTTAAAAATGGAAAAATAATTACTCAGAGACAATACAGAGTAAGGAATTGCTGAGAAAAACAGCAAAAATTTGCCAAGTTATGACAAAAAAAGTACTCTAAAAACGAACTAAAACGTTTAAAAGGCTTTGATCACGTGACTGATGACGTAACAAAAAATTATCCGGTAGAACCTTTGCTTTCCCGCAAATTTTCTCTGCCGTGTGATAAAAGTTTGACTCTCTACAGCCCTTGGCATGGCCTAGTCTCCCGACTTTTTCGCTCATGTTCATTACCCCCTAAAATTTTAAATGCCGGACGTAAACTGGTTATTTTTAAATGCCCCTGACAGCTAAACCCTCAAATATGCTATTTGCTTTTAACTCGTTAATGAAATCTTGTCTCAGCAACAAGAAAACCTAATCGGAAAAAGTCACGTGACTGATGACGTCATTACCTCAGATGTGACATGGGAAAATATTTTGTTGCAAATGTTATCTTGTTGTGACCTGACATTCGTCTACGTATAAAATTGTCAAAGTTATAAATAGTTGTAGCTTTTTAAAAAATTGCCTCAAAGGATTCTGGGATAATTTTTATGATAATTATAATTTACCTTTATAATTATTATTTATTAGTTTTTAGTGGGGGCTTTCTCACTGGTTAACATATCTAGTATTGGAATGGCTACATTTATGGTTTTGTCAACGTTGAAATATTTAGCTTATTTTCGAAATTTTCCCGAAACTCTATGTGACTTGACAAGCCTGACTCTTTAAAAATTTAAATAAAAAGTTAATATCAGTAGTGTTCTAAACTTGGGTCGGAGTGAATGACATGACTGATCTTTTACACTTTGCAAATCGGCTTTTTTCAGCCCCTTCAAATCTGGATGAAGTACGCCAGAAAGCATTAAAAGTGCACAACGACAAAAGGGCGATTCATGATGCAGATCCCCTGACGCTTTCAGCGAGTATGAATGATGAAGCCCAGAAAATTGCTTGGAAGCTTGCTAGTCGACCCTGGAAAGATGTAGGGCAATTCAAAAAACCTACCGATGCCTCTACTTGGACCTTTTATATATCTTGCATTGAGAGACGTGATGTGAAAAAAAGTGATGCCGAACTCATGGAAGAAGCCATGTTAAGAATGTGAGTTTAAAAGGACAATGGCGGGATGAGCATCAAGTTACTAGTATTGTTCGCGTATGCCATAGAAATAGTGATTTTCATAATAGAGATTTCGTTATTTTGATTTCGTTATTTTTTATGGCGCCTGAAATGTGTATATATTGGTTATCGTTATTTTGTTTCTTAAATCCTGCTGATTTAATTATTATTTTTATACTACCATCGATTTAATGAAAGTCTAGTATATCAGAATTAAAACATTGCTGTCGATCTTATTAGATTTTTTGACTTGCAATATTGTTAAATGGTTGAGTCTCAGATAATACAAATGAGGATGTCACTTCTTTCTGTAATTATAGCTTTTGTTAAGATTCTCTCTTTCCCTCTATTCTATAACTCCTACTTATTGTCAGAAACTGCATTATTATTAACTTCTCTTTGCACAGGTACAAATATAAAAACAAGGGCGGTGCTTGCGCTTTTAACTACGACAACCCGGCCACAACACCCACAGGTGAGAAAAGGGTCTTAGCGTTCATTCACATGGTATGGGCCAATTCCAAAGAAATTGGTATAGGATATGCGAAGAGAGCGGTGTACCTGACCAACAACTTTGATGGGGGACCAATGGCTAAACGCCTTTGCCTGTTTGTAACTACCTTCTACAAGCCAGGAACACCAGAGAACGCATCAAGTCAGAGCCTAAAGACGAATGTTAAGAAAGGAAGCTTTAACCCGCAAACTGAATGCCTGGATTCAAATAAAGACAGTGAGGACGAGGACTCTGACTTCATAATGTGAATGAAACAAAAACGCTTGTTGTTTGTCAGAATTTGTCAGCCTCTTTCAACTCATAAGTTAATTCTATTTGCCTTATTAAATGCGGCTAAGAGATACTAATAAACATGAGTGATAAAAAATTTAAAATATTGTTTTTGTTGAATAATCCATAAAAATGGTAGCAAACATAGAAACGTTACAGTTGTCTGTTTGTTACCGTGATACGTGTCCATACCGATCCCAGAAAATCAAGCCCCACCCCACCCCCAGAAAAATTATATTCTCTGCATTTCCTCAATATATTGATTTAGCTAGCCAAGGTTTAAACAATAAGCTTAAAATAAAAGAACAAGAAATCCACATATCTATACTTCATGGTGGATTAATTTCTAAGACCTGAAACAAAAGGAAAATGTTGCATCGAGTAATTTACAACAAAAATGTAGGAGTCATCGTCGATCACAGTATAGTGCGACTAGAAAAAACTAAATCTCCCAAAGCCCACCTACAAATAGCTTTTGATGCCGACAGGCCAAAGCTATCCGGTATTATAATACTGTATGCACACTTATCCGATTTGTGACTCTCCACTTTAGAAATCGGTGCAGCCCGATGCGGTCTCGCAGTATTCTAAAAGTTAGCCTTGGTATTCTAAAGTGATTAAATCATGCCTGATTAGCCTTTCTTTATAAGACATGTTCGTAGGATAGCTAACACTAAGTATAAACTTCGTTGCTCTACGACGGAGAAATCAATGAGAGCACGATGCTTCGAAATGAGAGAAGACCACAGAGCCCACAGGTTGATTCTGTTGGTCGATATGCATGTAGAATTTTTCTTCTCTTTGAATTCACGCATGTCCTTGCAGAGCTCGGTTAAAGCCAGTAGTCTTATACGCTTTCGCAAACGTAAGTTCTATATTTCGGGTCCAGGACATGTCGTTGGACACAGTATGCTTCTGAGGACAGTGATCGGGATGGTACACATCTGTTGGCTAAAAAAAATATAAGTTTGCAGTATTCAAGTCTATTGTTTTACTTTTAATATTCGATCACAAATTTATATTATAGGTAAGAGATCCATTAGAATACGTCTTTATCTTAATTTTTGTTAGTTCGTTTACAGAACTAGAAAAACACATGCTAAAATGCCAATTAATTACACTCTACGTTTTAAACATGAGAGAAAGCTATCCTTTACCTTGACCTGAAACATGCAATCTGCGTACAAAAAAAAAATCACACTTGCAGTGTTCTCAATAACCCGCAGTAAATTGGTTCAATCGTTCCGGTAATAGATAAAGTGATGAAAAGTTTGATCTGGTTTGACTAGTCAAAACATTGAAACATTTTGGGGAGTCATTCGATGTTTTCAATTACCGAAACTATTAACAGTCGGTCGGACGATATTGAAGTCACGGCTGAGTTTGATTACCTAACGCTAATACTGACTTTGCATCAAAATTTACAGTGGATACAAACTGGCACTGATATCAAGAGTCTTCACTCTTTAATGAAGCCAGTTTAGTCAGTCTCACCATAGTGCGCATGCACTGTCACATGTACGTGGCAAGGAAAAGCGACAGAAGTGTCGCGAGCGATTTAGAATAATTTAAAAACACGGCAGCTTATTTCGTTCAAGCTGCGAATTTTGATGTGTCTTTTGTTTGGTTCCTATATTTTCCAGCAGTACTGTTTTCGTTATTGCGTTCGAGGTACGAGAACGAAACCCCTAATTTGTGTTGGGTGTTCTGTGCGATATTTGATGTCCTGTGCAATTAATAAGAGAGTTTTTTTCGAGATTGCATTCGTCGTCGTCGTCGACACACATTTGCCTCGCTTTGAGGCACTTGCTTTCGTTTTGCCTCACTTTGACGAACTAACTCACGTAGTGATTCGTACGTCCTCGGCGTTCATCATTCAAGCGTTTGCTGAGGTCTTTATTCTGTCTTCGTAAAGAGTTCATCTTTTAAATGTTTGCTGAATCTTCGTAAAGCGTACATATTTGAAGAGTTTGCTGAAGGTCCACTATCGATCTGTGTTTGCTGAATCTTTCAAAACGTTCATCTTTCAAAAGTTTCGGCGGCGGTTGTGCTACAAAGTAAATCTACAGAGTTGTGTAGCTCGGCGGCCGTTGTGCCAAAGTAAATATCTACCGAGATGTGAAGCTCTGCTTCGCCGTTTCATCATGATTTGTGATATTTTCGGCACCGGACAAACGAACATTTTAGGCCTATGTTATTAATTCCGAAAAACTTATAAACAGCCCACAGTAGCTCCACTCAAGTCACTGAAATAAACACCTTCGACCAAATTACTGCACTTATTGAGACGAACCATACGATATCACTAGCCTTCAAGGCTTTTTCATAATGATACACAGTTTAAATAGAGGTTTCGCTATATGCAATCCTTACCTTTAAAATATGCCATGATCAAATTAAAGCCCGGTTTCCATATGATCGCTACCATCGCTGCGATCGCTGAGAAAAAAAAAACTTACCGATCATACGAAACCACTCTCCAGCGATCGCAGCGATCGCAGCGACAACAATAGCTGAGATATAAAAAGTTCTATCTCAGCGATCGTTATCGCTGCGATCTCTAGAGAGTGGTTTCCATATGATCGCAGAACTTTTTTTTCTCAGCGTTCGCAGCGATCGTAGCGATCATATAGAAACCGAGCTTAATCTATCGCAATAACCATCCACCCCTTCCTCCTCAACTGCTACCTGAACACCTTACAAACATGTCGAACGCACTCTTCTAAGCACCGATTACTCCTAGTATTTATTATAGCTGAAGGACGCAAGTAGTATATTAAGGATTCTCAAAGGGCCCCCTAATGACCGAGTGTTTCCAAATACATCAGAAGGGTCACAAACGGCTTTCTCTTTGCTTTAGAACACTGTTGAGCGATTTAATTCGGAGCTGCTCTAAAAACTACATTTATCTGTTCAAATGAGGTAGACGAACTTTGTTTGTAAAGAACGTTTTAGGTGGCAATTTTCGTCGTACCCGAAACTTTTAGCTACTACACGTCCCGACATATTAATGGGTCCGGTCGAATCGAGGTCGAGGACATGGCGGTTTAGCTGTACTTTTATTTTAAAAACTCTAGGAAACGATTTGACTTTTTTGCGAAATTTTTAGATAACTTTTTGTTAACGGAGATCGCAATAACTAGGTGATAAGATGCGAAAATTGTAGGTAAGTTAAAAGAAAAACCTCGAAAATGTTAGACTAATAGGACGGTTTAATATCAAGAAATTTTGGTTTTTTTCTCGAGCTTTAGAAATTTCTAGGCAAAGTCGTCGGATGCCTCTGATTATTCTTCTTTTGTGGTTTGTGTTATTCCATGCCCATGACGCCAATAAACAGCTGAACATCAGAGTTTTTTGTCTTAATATCTTGTTAATTTTTTAACACCATTTTGTCAATGAATAGAGTCGATTGACTAGCAGAAGGTTGTTTTTCGACAGTAAAATGTGCTTCAACTTATTAACAATTCGACGTCGATGCCAAGATTGACGCTGAGAATGGTAATCAACTATTTGCTAATTTTAGTGATTTCCACATTGTATATAGCTATTATAAGTAAAGATTGAGGGCAACAAAAATATTTTATTTTTTATGATTTAGCTTATTTTCTGGGCTTTATGTCTTTATTTGAGAGTCAAGCAGGTGGTGAATTATTGTTTTGTTTATGCTTCGTATCATCATTTTTTTTTTCTTTATTTTGGTGGGAATTGATATCATAAACTCAACTTGAATATATTTTCCCATACCTGCAGGACACGACACAGTTCCGATCGAAACCCAAATTACTCAATATTCTCGAACTTAACGCAGAATTTACGTTTTTATTCAATGAATCAAGCAACTCGACTTATGGCGCGGTAAGCCTTGCAAATCCCCCCCATTTTTATTTTTGTTATTACTTTTCTTCCACAGCATTGCAACTACGCAATGTTTTATTCATTAAACGGTTCTACAAGTTAGAAAAACTAAGGAAATGCTATGGAACAGTTAACCAGAATTTTTTTTCCTTTTGGAGTAATGAAGATCTTTAGGCATTATTTCATTCTTCGAACAGGTATTTTACACAAAATTGTGGTTTGATGCCCCTATATAAGTACGGTTTGTCATGATATCATAACAAAAACAAGAGCGTATTTTGTTCAGTAGTTTATTGACTTTCTCTAGTTCATTTTTTGCGGTTAACAAGATGCTCCTCCTTTTTTTAAATAGCTCGTAATTTTACTGCTGAATTTCAATCTTCTTAATTGAAATGGCTTTGTATTAATATTCCAATAGTTACCAATATTTTAATAAAACTTGATCTGTCTTTTATGTACTTGGTCAGGTTTAAAAACCCTATATGTGTTCTAATTTTTCTGGACACCAAGCGCACATTTATGTTTTCTTGTAAAAACGTCCACAGCATATTTCTTTTGTATAAAATCGTTAATATAACGTGAAGAAATTTGTCCAAATTACTAGAGGATCAAAAAAGTAATGTCATGTGGCGACCACATTTCATTGCATGCAGGTGAAAGGAGCTGACGCATGCGTCGCGACTTAATAGTTTAAAGAAGAACAAATATTTTGTTTTGCATTTAATTTTTAAAAGACGCCGAAACTTTTATCATAATAACTAACACGAATAAATAACGGTCGATTTGGAAGTCTTTACAAATAAACACGGAATCAGTCCAACAAAGATGGCGAAATTGATAGTTGTCGCTCTGATGATATGTTTTATGACAGAGGCATTAACTTCATCAGTAAAGGAACGACGTAAGTATTATAACTCCTAACACCTAAGGCATTGCTCACTACCGAGACTCCGGCTTTAAAATTACGACGCAAAATGATATACTCTAGAGTGCAAAATATATTACGAATTTTACTGACCACCGCCCAGACGCCCGCACTGTGTGATAACACTGCCAACTTGCCATTACTTTGCTCAGTCTAATATTATTTTTATGAAATTTACAACTTCAACTAAGAATTTACAAAAAGGCACTACTTAAAAAAAAAATGAGAAAGGCATTTAGTTTACTTCTTAGTTCTCCTCAGTTCTCGAAGACAACGCTTAAGCTGAGTGCCAAGTTTGTTAAACAAGACTACAATCTTCCAGAATTGACTTCACCTGAGTGCGCGAGTCCACAAGTGCATAATTAAGAAATTCGACTTCAAAGAGAAAAAAAAAACCTATGAATTTGCTTGCTATCATTTAGGTATAATGTTTCAAATATCACTTTTTCAACAGAAAATTTAGTATTGATTATTCCTTCGTTTCAACTCTTTGATTAACCTTCCTATTATCAAGTCGCTTCAGCTTTTATGTTAATTTCTGCTTCAAACTTTCCCTCTTCTTTTTTTTTTCATTGCTTTTTTTCACTGTGCAATTTTTTTTTCTCTTGGCCTACGTTGATTGTACCAGTTTTAATGCTTATGAACATAATAGCAATAAATTATCCTGAGAAGCAAGAATTTTTCAACATCACCGCACTTGCATGTGAGTTAAATTTGCATTTCCCTTGAAAGAAAATGACTTTATCAACGGAAATTTTTTGGCCTCCTGGGAGCTTTCGACGCTGGTATCACAAAACTTCACAAAAATGAATCAGCGTGAACTGCACGTAGTGTTTCTTCGTGGCTTCAACAATTTCCTTCATTCTGTTCTAAGATTGGACAAGCACTATAATTATCAAAAGTAAAATGACGAGACATAATTTCAAATATAATGCTTATTTTGTTTTATTTTTATTTTATTTTTTTTTTCATTTTTACTACGTTTTTGTGAATTAAGGATCAATCAAACTGTGCGGACCAGTCAAATTTATTTCACAGTAATTTGCTCTAGTTTTAATTTTTGACATAAAAAAAATAAAAGAAGAAAAACAAAAGCAAAACAAATTAAAACGGTGCAAGAACTCGAAGATTATAGACCAGAACACACAGGTCAAGGATTTTATTATTGATTATTATTATTATTATTATTATTATTATTATTATTATTATTACTTCTTCTTCTTCTTATCATCATCATCGTCACTATTGACATTTGTTATTAACCTTTCGGCTTAAAACTGCCTCAAAATTTTCATAGATATCTTTCATTTCCTTTTATTTAACATCTCAGTTTATTGTTCACCAATGATGAAGCTCCGCCTATTAACGCACTATATGTAATTGATAAAGGCAAGTTTCAATTTTCTTCGCCCTGAAAAAATTGCTAAATATCAAATTTCAATACCTGAAGAGAAATCATGATAATGCTCAGAATGCAAAATTATCATTTGTAGAAAACTTTCCCTTGCATATATGTTTTCTCTCTTGATTGAGTCAAGGCTACAATGCAATCCGTTTTTCTAAACGCCCGAAAATTGACTTGGTTAAGTGTTAAAAATTGGTAGAAGTTGAGGGAAGTCGATAAACGAGTACACGAGAACCAACCATGATCGCCAAGAATGACTTCGATCGTCATTTTTTTTCTCAGAGCAACGCACGCCGAACGAAAAAGAAAAATATACTTGTCAAATTAAATAAAAATTAATCGAGCAAATACAAAATAACTGTAAATACAAATTAAAAAATCGAACTACTAACTTTTGCAACAAAAAACTAGCTATTTCAGTTTAACGAAAATCTTTACGAGCGGATCGACGGCGTCGCAATGGTATCGCCACTGGGCCCCCTCGTGGCATTTGCGTTTACGTGTTCAAATGAAGAGAAATTTATTCTATAAGAGGTACTTGGATGACACTACGTTGGCTTTAGTACGTGATCAGTCCGACCTCAGTGCCTTTCTGACAACACTAAATAATTTGCATCCAGCAATTCGGTTCCCTACGACGTTAACGACCGACTACTAATCATTGGCATGGAGATCAGAAAAAAAATGATCAGCATCTGGAAACCTGCGTCTTCCGGAAAAAAAAAAAACGAACAAAGGGCTTCTCTTGCACTAACAGAGTCTCGTGGACAGTAGATACGAGAGATCGCTATTAAAAAGAATGCTAGATCTTGCGAAACGCCTGTCCTCTACGCAAGATTTTTTTCTTGCAAGAATGCAAGAACTTGAAAGGCATATTCTTGAAACTAAAATATCCCAAGAAAGCTTCTCGTGTCAGCCATAACAGTCTTCAGCGGCCCCATGATGATACAGGACACACACCCTCTGAAAGCCCCTTACGGCAGTCAAGCAGCACCTCACTGAAAGGCTCACACAATTGGCTGAAAGAACAATAGAAACGGTGACATAACAATGCCCCATCCCTGAAAACAAAGGGCAATATTGTTTTAGTCGGCCACTGAAATTAGAGGTTCGTGTGAGGTACTGGTCCCGTGAAAACTGGCCGCAATTCACAATCGATTTTCCTCTCAAGGACTCTCAGTTTTGTGAAAACTGTCTACGGATCTGCTCAGCAGATTTTTGATCCTTGAAAGTCTTGAAAGGTAAGATGATCCGTAAGGCAGTAGTCCAGTACCTCACATGAACCTCTAATTTCAGTGGTCGACTAAAACAATATTGCCTTTTGTTTTCAGGGATGGGCATTGTTACGTGGGGTGCTGCTTGACTGGTTTTCACTAGCAAAATTTGCCCATTTTCACTCTTAAATTTACATGCACTTTTCACACTTTCTTTATCTATAAATATTACCACGGATCAGGTTAATTTCTTATGTTTTGATAATGATGACATGAACCCATCGAAACTTTTAAGTCTCTTTTATGTTGTTAATTTTTGTATCAAAATATACAAATTAGTGGCAAAAAGGAGGAGAGACTGGTGCGGAGGAAGGAAAAAGTTGTCTTAACAGTTGCTTTTCTAGGACCTTTAGCTCTTCCACTCTCGTTCCGTGAGGCTTCCACGCTCGCTCCTCATACGTGTTCTCGATCTACTGCGACGCAACCGAAAAAAAGAAAAAAAGAATTCGGGCTGAGACGCCTAGAGAAGAACTCGCACGTGATCAGGTCGGCCATCCTCTATCCGTCGAAACCGGGATAAATCTAAGCCCCTGTCGCGCGAAGCAAATGACGTTCTCCCCATCGAAGAGTAAAAACTATTTACATTGAGTTTCATTTTGGTGTTGTGAGGTTTTAAATAACAGTTCATATCTGGCCCCACGGGAAAAAGCTTCCATTTGGGGAACGTTCACGCTTGGTGCCCGGGCACAATGCCCAAGCACGGTACTAGCAGGGCGGAATGGAGAGAAAATGCACCCAGTTACATATCGAGTACTCAATGTGTGAACACAAGACTTAATTCAGTCCCAGTACCCGTGCAGAAGTGCTCGGGCACCAAGTGCACGTGAACACTGAGCCCCTTAGGGACTCTTGGAAACAGAAATCACTGATTCCATCACGGCTGTTAGCCATTAGAGCAGTTTTCATTTGAGTGTCGAAAAGTAATTGGTTTTGCACTTTCTACACGATGCGATTGGCTTAAAAGATTCGCGTCACCTTTTCATCCAATCAGAAGTAAAACCAAAGCCAATTGTGACGCGCTCGCATACATTTTCCCGCGCTTTGCGTCAGCCACATGTAATTACTTCGAGTTTTGATTGGTTCAATGTATTGTCTGTGTCCTATGTGATTGGCCAGAGTAATTACTTTGGTTTTGGTTTTACGACACTCAAACGAAAACCACTCTAAGAGCTTTAGTACTGTTCTCCTTACCTTTATCCGATAGAGAGGGAGCGCAAGTGTGTCAATGAGGAGGACGATGAAACTTGCGAAGTGTTCGCAGAATATTGCGAAGATGTGAACAAGGAGTTGAGTGAAGATGACCATCGATATTTTGTGCATGAATCATGTCCTAAGACGTGTTTGATGTGCTAATTGCTAACCATGGTAAACCACTCGCAAATCACTAAGGTATCTGTCTTCTCCTGTTTTAATGTTTGTTGAGTACCGACTATGATGAGATTATTGATTCCAGCTGAGCTGAGACTTCCCGGCAAAGGCTCTGACCATAGAATTGTGTTTTACGTCTCCTAATATTCACTTCAATCCTGAGAAATCTTTTCCATAGATATTCTTTGCCTGTACTAAAATTGCCCAGGCTGTGTCACAGTTAAGACATAATAGCTTCAATAAGCAAATATCCTGAGATACGATAAGGAAATTAAAGGGAGTCGAGTAAACTCTAATTTTTACTCCAATCAGCTCACACTGTCAATATTAAAGTAATGGTCTAAGAAATCTATCCACTTACTGCCTATGGAAAACAAGACGTGAATCAGCTCTTCCCTGATTTTGTTGTTGTTGTTTTCTTTTTCTTTTTCTTACGCGCCTTGTTCGACGGGCTAAGAGAAAAGAGGGGCTGTTCGTAGTGCATATACAAAAAACGAAAATCTCAGTCAGTTTAAGTATGCAATCAACATAAATTAAATATGCGTTTGTCTTAACAGATTTCAGAAGGGATGAAGACGGATGAGGGAGTCAACAATGCATTATTACGTTATTTCTAATTAATTAAATTGACTGATGCTTTTGCTACCGCGAATCAAATAGATTGTGAAGAAAACTGAATGTAAACATGTGAATTGAGCTATTAAAGTTTCATAAAATCTGGCAGTTGCTTTTATTGTTGTAATGCAGACGCTTATTAGTGTATAGTGCAATGTTAAAGATTTGGCTCAAAGTGTTTGTGGTCATTACTTTCCTTTTCTAAGCCATAAATTGCAGGGCAAGTTTTTACTTCCCAGGTAAAGCCGCGACTTTTGGGCAATTATTTGTCTTGATAATTTCTTTTCATGGGTTTTCTTACTAAGACATCAAGAATGAATAGATTGTATTTTGTACGGTAAATTTCCGGTTTATGTTTTCTGTTATTTTTTATGTGGTCACGATACTGAGACCAAGCAGTATGAGATTTAATTTGGTTGTTAGTGACCTACCTGCACACTATATTTCTAGATGGCGGAAGCAGACGTTCGATAATTGGCCGAGGAAGTAACGGACTATTTCGGACATTTTACAGGCAGTTAAATTAATTTATTTGGAAACTTTTCATCAAATTTGGAGAGGCTTTCTGCCTCATCTTTGCTTATGTTTTTTCTTTTCTTTATAAATAATTAAAACGTTAAAGATGATGATAACGATGCTAAATTGTTTCTGAAGTTTTTAAATAAAAGTTGAAGAGTCGCAATGTCCAGATGAGTTGAGCATCCATATAGTCGTCTACGGATATGACGACCCGCAAATAAAGGTTCAATAGATGAATTGAGCATCCATTTAGGTTCCACTTCGGACGTAGTTACATGGAGAAAATGATAATGGCCAAAAACTTCATTCAAGAAACAGCTACTCGTTAACCTACGGATCCCTTGCATCTATTTTGTTTGCACTGCAGCGATGCTTTGTCCGTTGCTAAAAAAAACCTTTCACCTCTTTTTCCTGCTTTCCGCCCCCAACCCCCCGCCCCCAAAATAATAATAAAATAAAATAAATTGTATGGTCGAATATAAGGGGGATTGCCTCTTCCCCCAGCCCGGGTAGCTCCGGTGGCTCCCTTACAAGAGCCGCTGAACTTTTAAAAAATATATAGTGCCTTGCATGCCTCACTTCGACTTCAACGGTTTATAGAAGTAGACTCCTTGTTTAAGGGTGAAGAACAAAAACGTCAGCACAAGTTTCACCAGAATTATCCTTTTGTGAATAATCGAAAAGATCTTCAACAAACCAAATTTTGAGAACTTTCGTGACAGGGTCATGTGCTGGGCTGACAGATGCTAGCCTGAACACGATCTCGGGTGAGGTGCTTCGATAACCTTCCAAAGTGTAAGCGTTAGGATAGAAAAGATGGTAGTTTTCAGGCAGAAGAACCTTATTTCGTTCGTTCGTGACGATGGTTCGTATTTTTCGAGAAGGACTTCCCCAATTTGCTCCCCCGTTATTTCGCCCGTTGGAAACGGCGCCCGAGATATGAGTTAGTTTTAATGCAGCAATACCACCTGAAGTGTGGAGATCAAATTTTCCATAGGAATTGTTCTTTGCGCCAAAGCAGACAGGACCATCCTTGTTGACCTTTGACCAACCTGAACCTATAAAAGCGCCATTTATAAAACAAACAAAAAATGTTATGTTAACAGCCTTATGATGTCTTAAGAAAGCATAAATGTTGGATGAAACCCACCAACCCAACAAAGCCTTACTTTGATTTAATTTAAAGTGGGGGTGGGTGGGGGGGGGGAGTTTCGGGGCTGGCAACACGCTTCATTTTTAACCGGAATAGAGCTAACGCAAATGAGCAGTGCTTATCAAATATGTTTAGTGTTTATTGGTGTTTTAAGCGTCAAAGTGTCGCAATAAATCAAAATTAGTTTCAGTGCATTTGGGAGGGCTTATAATCGGATGAATTAATTGGGTTTCAATTCAAAAACAAAACAACGATACTTTCTGGCGAAATTACGTCACGAGGCAAAATTTGCATAAATGACGCCAAATTGACGCAAACGATCAATTTGCAGTATGTATGGAATTTCTGTAGTCGTTTCTTTTGACGCGCGTATTTTCGATCAAAAACAAAAATGAAAACATGTTTATATCTTCCGTCAATTTTAAACACTTTGAATTCCGTAAAATAACTTTAATACCGGACTCGGGGTAAAACCTACCTTCTTCACAGTTCCCTCCACGACAGCCAGGAGAATATTCACATGTGGAGCCGCTATCCTTTTTATCGTCCGGATGGCATGTTCTACCATACTGACATGGCTGGGCGAGACGTGGCGAGACCTATAGGTAAAAGGTGAATTTACTAGGATATAATTCATGCAGCAAGAGTAAACGTATAAACCAAAGGTGCCGGATCCTGCAGTGATGAACAACGACTTAGAGAATTCGTTACCTTTCAAGATTTATCTCAGCCAGTTTCCCTGGTGCAACAGAAAAAGAGCATATCCTCTCTTAACTAAACAGTCAGCCTTTAACTTCAAAACGAGGAACATACTATAACAAACCAATTCATGGCAAAGAAATCAAGTAATTATTAAACAAATTAGCGGCATCCGTGGGAAAAGATATTTACTTACTTTCACAGTGTAATGATTGAATCGTACGCTTGCCACAAGAAGTTCGCTCTTCCTTTCCTTGGTAGAAGCTAGCAACTGACAGAGCTGAAGCTCGCCATCACCTTTGAAAGCGCTTTCAATATTGACTGACAGACACTCAGGGGTGTCCAGACATTGGAACTGGCATTCTTCGCCATCTTTAGTGTATTTGGAGAGAAGGCATGAGACGTTGAGCATGCTTCCACAATAAGCAACAAAATTCGAGTAGAGGATTTGGCTACCACCTGCATCTGTAATGATACCAGCGCTTGAGCTTTTTTGTTCACTGATAGCGGCAGGCAAAATTTGTAGGATCATAATGAAATTCAGTAACGTCAAGATTAAACAGACCATTTCGATATATATCTAACTTTCTTAATATCATGCAACTATAATAAAACTAAGTTGTCGACGCGTTGCATTCAAATCATTGTTGGCAAGTATTTATGCCGTTTGTTTCCACGCGTATTTGTTGAACCTAAAAATCTGTAATGAAGCTTGTTATTTTAGGGTTTTGTGTATGTTCTTAACACCTTCACTGACTGCAATATAGTTAAATACAATTTAAACCACAATCTCACTAATTGAAAAGATCAGTTTAAATTAGTAGGAAAGTGATAAGGGATCTAGCTCATCAACAACTGACTCAAAAAAACAATATGCCACAATTTTCTGATTTCAAAACAACAAAATTTAGGATAAAAAAAGGGATAACAAAACGTTTCCAATTCAGCTAGTTCCTAATGTACTTATCCTGTTAGATCCTTTTTAGTCAGCGCAAACAGGTTTTCATAACTTTAAAACGACGCAGTAAAATCAAAACAAATTTCATGCTTAGTTTACCGAACATTGCCCCTGATGGTTGAAGTTTCCCTGACAACCACATTGCCCGTTAGCATTTGTTTTAACCTTTGTTCCCCAAGCTTATTTTGTTTTCTTTTTCTTTTTTTCTTTTCTTTTCTTTCTTTTTTTTTTTTTCAATAACTCTAACATCATTGCCAACTCTATAGCTGCAGACTTAGAGGGTTACCATTATACTTTGTTTGGATTAAACATAAGACGTTGTTTGACGTCATAAGTCATTGCACAGTCATCTCCGATCCCCACATGTACAAAGATCAGGTAAACCTAGAAAAGACTAATGTCTGCCGGGGTAAACCGTATTTAGAGAGTATAAATTTGAAGCCTTAAAATGTGTGCTTAAAACTTAAACGACCAAAGCGTGGAATTCAAATCATGAACGTCACGACGGAGGTACGGTCTTTAAACTCAAATCTGTTTAGCCAGTTTCTTAACCAGATGCATAAGTATTTCTTGGTCAAGGTAAATATACAAACTTGAAAAAAAAATAACGTTCAAACAAATACCACGTTCTTTACATTTGATAAAGTCGGTGTAAAAAATTGTCTATTTCTCAATCAGCCATAAACTGTGTGTTTTATTACAAAGAAACACCAAAATAAAGAGGACTTACATAGCAACCCCCCCACCCCCCTGCAAAAAAAAAAAAAAAAACAAGGCTATTCAAAGGCGGATCCCGAAACTTTAAACGGGAGGTACAAAAAACAAACGGGCCCCCAACACTAAACCCAACACCACTCCAACTACCCCTCCTTTACCCCCACAACTTCCCCACTCACTAACCACACCACACCACTAAAAATTAACGTTCAAACAAATTCCACGTTCTTTACATTTGATAAAGTCGGTGTAAAAAATTGTCTATTTCTCAATCAGCCATAAACTGTGTTTTTTATTACAAAGAAACACCAAAATAAAGAGGACTTACATAGCAACCCCCCCCCCCCCCTGCAAAAAAAAAAAAAAATACATGGCTATTCAGAGGCGGATCCAGGATTTTTAACGGGGGGTTGCTGATACCAATCAGGCCACCAACCTATATGCAAATCTACTTCAAATTGCCCTTTGTTTGCCCCAAAAAGTTGCAAATTAGGAACTGAGGACAAACTGGATACTGCTGTTTTCCCTCCACCACCACCACCACCACCACCACATTTCTATTGTTTTCCCTCCTCCACCACCACCACCCCCACATATCTATTGTTTTCACTCCTCTTATTGTTTTTCTACCACAGAGGCCAAAAAGGCTAACCTCAGGCCAAAATAGCCAAATCAGGCCTAAAAGGCCAAAGTCTGGCCAAACAAGTCACACTCTAATAACCTTTCTTGCAGGAAAACAACAGGAGGAGTGAAAACAATAGAAATGCGGTGGTTTGGGAAAACAATAGAAATGTGATGGTGGTGGTGGTGGTGGAGGGGAAACAATAGAAATGTGGTGGTGGTGGTGGGAAAACAATGGAAATGTGGAGGTGCTGGTATATAGTTTAACTATTCACGAAGCTGTGTTGAAAAAAAGGGTCCATGTAGGGTCGATATGAGGTCCATATATTTGTTCGGGGAAAAATGTATAAAGAAATGAGGAGGTGGATGAGAAGGAGGGAAAATAATGAAATTATGGAGGAGGGAAATCAAGATTGACTGAGGAAGAGGTGGGAAAAGCTCAAAATTGTGGAGAAGGAGGGAATTCAAGAATGAGGAGGGAAAACAATAAAATTGTGGAGGAGGGAATAAAAAAATTGAGCAGAGGAAAATACTAAAATTGTGGAGGAGGGAATAAGAAAATTGAAGAGAGGAAAATATTAATAAAAATTGTGGGCGAGGAAATTAAAAAATTGAGGAGGGAAAATAATAAAATTGTATAGGAGGGAATAAAAAAATTGATGAGAGGAAAATATTGATAAAAATTGTGGGGGAGGAAATTATAAAATTGAGGAGGGAAAATAATAAACTTGTGGAGGAGGGAATTTAAAAAAAAATGAGGAGAGGAATTAGTATGCAGGAAGGCATTTTTACCTAGTAGTCCAGTCAATCTAGGGGTTTTAGAGGCTCAACATCAAACTTATTGAAACAGAATTGTTTTCAACGCCATTTAAGTAAGGGTGGACTATCTAGCAACATGCTAAAAATCCGCCAAATTCTGTTCGGTGGAACATGTCAAAATTAAGCGCTAAATATTTTGAGCTTTTACCACAGGACACCCACGCTAGTTGACATTAAACGTTCAAAAGAAAAATGCACAAAATGTCTTTGTTACTTTTGCAGAAAACTTAAAGAAAAAAGAATAACAGCTACCTAGTTTTCGGTGATAAAAAAGACGTTTTTTGCTTTTCAGAAAGGGTAAATATTCAACACAGTTGGCTATAGCACAGGAAGACCAGGCTCCACTCAAGGAACACCACAGTAACAGGGGGGCTAACAAAGTAATATCGTGAGCTGTTATCTTTAAAATTACGACAAATTTAGTCGTAAGGCTTTAAATCTAAAAAAAATATGAAAGTCGCTAGTTAATTATTAGCTTTTAAAATATAACCTTTTTTATCAGATTTTCCGCTGTCCGCTGCATGGGTGAAAAATATATATCTAGTTAGATTTTTGTACCATAATGTAACTTTACAGCCAAAATAGATCTCTCCCATCAAACAGTTTTCTTCTCTCAAATTCTGTCTTCAAAGAACTCAACATAAAAACTAAGAGTGCAGCCATTATTTTTTTTCCCCCCTTCTTTCTTTCTCCTCGCTGTTTCCACTTTTTTCTTGTCCTCTTCTAGTGTGATTTTGGGGCTCATCGGAAGCAAAAAAGTTGTCGCCGGTTTTTGTTTTTGTTTTTCTTAGTCAAACGGCTGTAATTTTCGTGTGGTACGTTTTCAAAAATTCAGCTAGGTATTTTTTTGTCTTTTGTTACCTATACGTTAATTTTCGTTAACGTACCAACATCCTCAAATATACGTCAAGTTTCACTTTTTTGAAGCTTTTCGTTTTCTCCTTCTTGTTAAAAGTGAATTGGAGTGGAGGGGAGAATACTTTTACCAATTCTTTACGACGTATAGCAATGCAAAGTTTTGAGAAGGTTAAGCTCCAATGCTAATGAATTCGATAAGAGGGAAAAACGTTTTCATTTAAAGAAAAGTTTTTTTACCTTCGCAAAGAGAACAATAAGAATAACGGAACATTTCGGCGTCGAATGAGAACTTTGGGGGCCAGCAAAAGTTTATTTCAAGCAAACGGAATAGTATAAAAGGGAAGCATGTTTACTAAGGGAAAGATTAATTCTGGCTAGGCGAAATAATGCGTCTATAAAAACATCTTGATCATGAGTCTAGGGAGTGATAGAAACTCCCCACACAGAGCATAGTTCATGTAACCCAGCCAGAAACCTCGCTGTGAGTCATCCAAAGAGAAACTAAGGTTCCTAAAAAAGAGTTGAGCCAGCATCTGAGTCAGGCGAGCCCTTTTATTTCGTACATATATCCCGTACTATCACACCCTTTAATGACCAAGACAATTTTTTTGAGACATAGGACCCCGTGGACGTTATAGAACGTAAAAACTGGTCAAGTTCTTCTCAAAAAAAGAGATCCAAGGAAGGAATGTTAAAGCCTTGAGACCACCGAGCGATTAATCTACTTATTCATCTTACCAAGAAATGTAGGGCTGCCGCAGAAAATACAAAATGAACACACCAGAAACACCAATTACTAAATCTGAGACTTGCTACATAAAGAAGATTAAAAAAAGAACAATATGCTTGGTTTTCTGGAATTCCCTCGCAACAGAGTCGGTCAGGTGTAATGAAAAGCACAGAGAGTTAAGATCTAGCAAAAATCAAACTGACGAAGCCCTAAGCAGAATATTTTTTCACTTGTAGTATAAGGTACGGAATCATAATCCGAAAGGAGGGTTCGCGAGTCGCACTGAAAGAAAAAAGAATCCCAGTTTTCGATCACACATATTGTATCCAATTTATGAACATAACTACCTTACAAAACTCAATTAAAGAAAACGGGAATACTTTAAACAGTTTGTACCGATACAAAGCCATCGTCCGTTGCACACATTAAGTCGCTCGTGTCCTGCAGCATGGATGCAAACTTAGTAGCTGACTGATACTGTCAACAGTTTGATTTGGTATTTTAAATGGCAGCAGTAAAAACTGCTAAAATACATAACGCATTTCTGCTATTATTAATTTTTTAACAATGCTAACACCTACTTTATAATATTTTCTTTTCAAATACCGTCAAAGACAAAAATCAAGCTTGGAAAACAAAGTGTGAAGTCAGACGAGAGGCTGGGTTACCTGTGCAAGGAGGTCAAGAGAAACACTGACCCAGATGCCTTCTCATACATCTAGTCAGCGGTTTTTAAAAACAAAACAATCCAAAGTCAATAATTGGCGATGTGGCTAAGATTCTTAAGAAAAAAACGCAATTATCAGATCTTTTGTCTGAATTTGTCATTTTGCTGAAATTGGGTGTCCTGTGATGGAAGTTGAAAATCTTTATTGCCAATTTTTTTCATGTTTCACCGAACAGATTTTGGCGGATTTTTAGCATGTTGTTAAGTAGCCTTCCAACAATCAAAGGGCGTTGAAAAAAATTATGTTGCAATGACTTTGATGTTAAACCACAATTTGACTGGACTATAGCTAGCAAGACACTGACCTTCCCTAGGTTATAACAATGGGTGACGTCATGGACTCGATCCTTATTCATATTACAGAGAGATATTAATAAAGGGAACGCACCAACGGAGCTTAATTTTATCCTTCTATCACTACTGAGAAATTAGTTATTGACATAATTATGAGTATTATTAGTAATAACAAAACAAATAAAGGATAACAATACAGTAAAAGTGTTTTATTTTTATCTTCATTCATTTATTTATTTATTTATCTTTATTGCAGTCAAGCTAATTATAAGCGCTGTTATAGTACATGTACACCACTCCAGAATCAAAAAGCCTCTTCAGTTTGTGATTTTCCCTATTATGCTAGTCACGCGGGGAACTTTTTCTTTTAATTTCTATTTGTTTATGTGTCTGAATATGTGAGCACAATAAAAAGATGAGCGGCAGGCTCCTGTGAGCGGTTAAAACTTCTTTGAAAACAACACATAACCTTTACGACGGGGGAAAGAAAAGAAGAAGAGAAGCTATGAAAAGAGGTTTACTGTTCTTTGGCAGCTGAAGCATCATGGCTGCGTTTTACTGTTCATAACAAAGCTCTCACGTATAATGTGTTTGTTCACTGTATCTATACTTGTTGACACTTATTGTCATAAGGATATCATGCGTATATTCAAATGGCAACCTGGCCCGTTTCCAACTCGCTTGTTTTCGGAGGGAAAAAAAACCCTTAATTAAGGAATCCCCTTAATTCACTTCCCTTTGCTCCATCCCCTTACGGCCTCCGTTGATATCTTTGTTCGACTTTATCCTTTATCCTTTTATCCTTTATCCTTTATCCTTTAAGAGAAAGTAAATTCATCACACCAGATAAATGATTATCTTTGAAGTGGACAATCAACGCTTTCAAGGGATAGAATTCGTGGACGTTATTTTCATAGTTTGTAGAGAACTGGAAGAACGAACAAGTAGCCAGTCAGTCTTTCACTTCGCCGCCTACCGCGCCGATTATTTTCAAATCTATACGTAACAGCAGACATGTGTTTTCTTGATATTACAACTCCCTTGTATATCACCTTTTCTCTTTAAGTCTGGAGTAGAGCATCCGATACTTTTAAGTTCAGTGTTGCTTCGCCGGGTGATATGATTATTGATATAACTGGAGAACGATTCAGTGAGCTTCTGTTTCTCTTTCATACAAATTTTCAGAAACACGCTTCTAAACTCGCGACTTCTCCAACAGTAAATCATAGGATTTAAAAAGGAAGATGTAAAAGTTAGGATCTTGACTAAAGCATTGACAATGCTTTCCTTTGATTTAAATGACTCGGAAAAACACTGTGGGCAGGTTTTCTGTAAGAAGTAATAAAAACAAGATGGAAACCAGGATAACACGAATACTCCAATGACGATCATTATTGTTATATTTCCCCTTCGTTCGTTACGCTCCCTGCACGCACTGAAATGCGCTGTGTTGTATTTGACGCCTTTTTTATCACTGCATATCTTTTTGATATGGGTCTGAGCAGTGAGATACATGAACGTATAGCATACCACGATGACAAGAAATGGAACAATCACGTTAGAAATGATGACCATTATACTCCACCAGTGTGGAGGCTGGTAATTGCATGCCTTATCAGAATCATTTGAGTCCCACGGGACGAAAGGAAGCGAAGAGATGATCAGCGCCTCAGACCAAACAACTAACAATGCCAGGATGACTCGACGACGTGTGACGATGGTCATATGCTTAAGCGGAATTTTGATTGCGATCAGGCGCTCCACACTGATGATGCTCAAACTCAGAATAGAAGCGTAACCAGTGAGGAAGTAGGACGCGCGAAAAGTGTCACACACAATTGTATCGTAAGGTTCCTCCCAAGTAAACTTTTTGAAGATGTAACTGGGTATGGCAATGAGTCCGGCCATAAGGTCGGCAATTGCTAAGCTGAAAATCGAAAGGTAGGTCACGTGTTGCAAAGCTGGGTGGTTGTTAATTGCAAAACACACAATGCTGTTGCCAACAACAGTTCCAAAAGACAAGACTGACAAGATGATCACTAATGGCGTTCTGGGAAACTCCATGTCATGGCTGTCTTGTTGTGAAAGTAAAGGCGAAGTCTCTGTGTTGTTGAACATTGAGCTCCTGTTGATACAAAAAGGAAGATAAATGCAATGGATTTGGTGCGAAATAAAATAGAAAATTAATTTGAAAGAAAATTGCTCCAATGTTCTATTGACTAGTATAGCAATTTTAAACATGGACCATTATTTTCCGGTTTTCGTTGATTCCAAAGTGTTTGTTAGAGGTTTTACTGCGTGCATTGCCGAAAATCCGATAACATCTCTTTTAAGCTAACGATTTGCAAAGCCTCCTTAGTATACTATTTGGATAAGATAGTTTCTGCATGAATTTATAATCAACTTAAATTTAATATTTCCGGACTAAGCATTTTCTGGATTGGCCGACATAAATTCTCTGTAGATATGTCAAGGGTCACGCTGACTAACAAGCGTTCAGGTTTACAATTCAGCCCGCACATACATGTTGTAAGTATAAAAGGCTGCTGACAGATATTTGGTGTAAACATCCTAGATGCTAAAATTTCTTTTACATTTACGCATCGATGGTGAAGCCACAATTGATGTTAAAGAGAGTTGCGAATCTAACATGAAGTAAATTTAATACACGCCCCCCTTTTGCAAGTTACTTGTCAAACGGAAACTTTCGTAGTTGCACGAGCGGCTACGAGCTAGTTGACTGAGTAGCTCACGAGAAAAAACATCATTCACACTTAAAATTCGCCATCACATTTATGACATAGGGAGTGTCTCCAGAACGGGAGGGCGAGACGGGGGGCGGGGGAGATGGGGCATCGTATTAAAGCCAACAACGGGGATGCTCGTCCTCTCCCTTTAGGTAGAAATTGCAGATTTTGGTCTCACCTAGCGTAGCGTGTTCAAAAGGGCGGAGAACAAACATTTTTGCCCATAAAGTAATCACGTAGGGTTTCTCGTACCGTGTTAAAGTATGATCTCCATCAGGGGTCAAATAAAGCCTGAGCCACGCACTGATTGGTCTCTTTTAGGGCTGAATTCTTATTTATCGACCAGCATCCCTGTTATATTTCTATAGTCCCCTCCCCCCTCCCCGATGGCTGGGTGAATCGACATTCCAGTCCTAGTATGTAAGATCTTCGTCAGATAAACCTACACACGTTAAATTACCTCCGCTCCGTCCACTGTATCTCGGTGTAAGAGCACCGAGCTTAGTACACACGTAACTAGAAGGTCACAGGTTTGTCAAGTGTTCATATAATGCATATATAAACCTCAAATGTTGCCTTTTATTGCGAGTATGGGTCGCTCATATGTGTCACTGTGTCAAAAACTTCCGTTAACCAGCGCTGCACTTAAAAAGTGTTAACTGTAATACCTCCAAAGTAATAACCGACCCATAAAGGGACTCACAGAATGGTGAAATAGAACGTTCCATTGGATTTGACTCTTCGCTAATATTGTATACTCATGCATCAAGGCAAAATATCAATACTGTATGCTGCTTTTTGTATTCGCATCTCGCCAGATTATTTTTGTGTATAATAAATTGGGGAAGGTATGATTATAGACCAGTGCCAACTTTACCTAAAGATTAGCTACTTGAAATACATCTTAACTTACCGAGTGGTTGTTCACTTCAATTCAATTCCCCTTTTCGACCTAATCAAGTGGGTCCGGTCTATCGAGAGCCTGTAGTTACCTTGCTCATAAATATTGATTCAAGTGTCTTGCCTCATCAGTAAAACTCATTGACATTCGTTTACATATTACAGATCACGACTGCGTTCTTTCAGCAGTGAAACCTTATCTCCCTGAGCAGGACTCATAGTGCAAAGATGATAACCGACGGAATGATTTCTGCATGCAGTTACCGGCTTGTCGACAGCTATTCCAGGCTATTCCCTTCCTCTAATCAAAATAACATCACGTTCGCGTTAAATAGATGACGTAGCTTTCCAGTCTAAATGGCTTGTGCTTAAATAATGGCATTTGATAATCACTTTTAAAAAAAACATCTTTCTATTATTATTATTCTTGTTTTCTTAAAAATATATTATTCATTATTTATTAACATTTATTTATCTATATTATTATATCACGTGCAGTGTTCAAAGCTAGGATTCAATTTTTGAGGCGATAGCAGAAATTAGGTTCAGAAAATTACAGCAAATTTCTAATTGATAATTTTATCTATTGTCGGTGAATATAGCAGTGTAACTTAATGTTGTTCACCTGTGGCTATTGTTAGGTGTACCTGTAATATAATGATGCAATTCTACTATAAGATAATAGTACCATATTAAGAAAAGTATTGTCCGAATGTTTAGATTTGGACAAAACTCAGGATTTTATCCATAGACTCAAAATTTGGAATTATTTTATACAGCGTTTAGCAAATGGCACCCCACTGTGTGAAGGACGCTTAACCGGAAACCGTTCCTGTCATGAAAGCAAGAAATCAGGGGCACCCAACGTCAATTTTCCGAAAATATCTGTTCGCAAGACGATTTGAGATGTAGATTTTCGAAACATTTGTTGTAACATTTTTCTTGCTTGCCTGCCTCTCCTAGGATTTTCGAACATCTAAAAAATGGTAAAATTGCCCACTTTTAACCGATTTTTACGGCCTAAAAAGGTCACCTAGAATTTTCGGGAACCTATTTTCTGGCTGAACGTTTCGAAAACGTAAATTTTGATCCCTATAATTTTCGGATCACGAGACTTTAGCTAGGAGATCCGAACAGACGAAAATTTTTTAGGGGATAAAAATATGCCTATATCTACTGTTTAAATACTAAAATACGTGCAAAAATGCTATGTCTAAGTGTTTTTGAACTATATTCTCGTTGGGTGCCCCTGAGAAATGTAATATATGAAGCTTATGAAGTTTGGGATCTTCGAGAAAGGTGTTCATGCAATGAGAAGGATTTTGGCATAACAATATAATTATGATAAATAAAATAAACAAACAATAAAGAGATAATATAATAATGTCTGTTCTTAAGAAAAAATTCTTAAGGGGAAAATTCTTAGGATTGCTTGATTTAGATTGTTATGATTGGTTAGAACAATCTTAGTTTATAATTATCTATCTGAATGACTGAAGACTTCGGAACGAACAAGTTATCTTGCATGGTGCTTTAAATAACACAGCTTCAATTTTCCCTCGTAAGTTTCTTGTTTGGATAAGTTCTCGTTTCCGACAAATAATGTAAATAGCAAAAGGAGTAAGTTACGTTTAGGTAAGGAAACCACCAAGGCGAAGTTTAGAATGTATGCACTAAAAACGTCAACACAATCTAAAGGGTTAAATTTTATTTTTTAAAGGTTGCCTAATGTCCTTTTTTTTTTTTTTCGGCTGCTGAGGCGGAAAGCCTGTCTAGCGAGCGTCCCTGTGCGAGCTAAAAGGGACAGGAGAAGAAGTTTTTGATGACTATAATATTTATGTGAGCGTTGTGTTCCTATGGACGAAAAGATTTTAAATCCTAACTTAAAAGTTTAAATTGTAATTTATCGGTGCTAAACTTTCTACGATGGTGAGACCTACATACATGTTTCCCGTTATAAAACATCGTTCTGGCTGTGTCGAAACAAGCCGAGACTTCTTATAACAAAAAAACAATTGAGAACAAATGAATATATTCTTAAATGACTATTGGAAAAGCCTATATTGGTTCTTCATATTGTTAACAGCGTTTTGTGTTCGATTTCGACTCGAAGTTAAATATCGATGTCAACTGCATTTACTGAGTTTTGTCTGCCTCGCGTAGACCTTGCATTAGGAAAACTGTCGGTTTTTATCACTGGCACTAATCATGGGTAACTGAAATTTTTATGCCATGGTCCTATAATTTCGGACCATACGAAACAGCACTGCCGCTCTGGGATAAGCGATGATTTGTCCTGAAGCCTGAACTCCAGTGAAGTTATTGGTCTTCAATCAAATGAATTCAGCTTTCAACGAAATACATTCTATATACCCATAATACAAGTATTTGCCATACCTTGATATATATGTTATCAGGTCTTGATATATCTCTCAATAACAAATTAACAAATTAATGATAACAAATTAACTGGTGTCTAAATTGTACGCTTGGGTAATTGTTTTCAAGCTAGTAATCAAGCGTGTGGTTAACCCTAATTTAAAGAATCCATTTAAAACATAAACAACGAATTTATAATGGGAATCGAACTAAGTGGAGTGCAATTTGGTCTGAAATCATACGCGTGATTTCAATATTGGAAAAAACATTGCGCGCAGCGCAAGTTCGATTTGAAATTAAACGTATGACTTCAGAACAAAATTGCATGATACGAAGTTCAATTACCACTTTATTACATCCATTTTGCCTGCAATTTGGTTTGTTACAATAAACAAGATTTGTCAATTGTTTAGTTGTGCTGTTTTAGTGGTCTTTTTTCATTGGCTGGGGAAAAGATTTGATTTAGAGCAGAAAATGGTGCGATTTGCGAATAAATCAAACTGAAGAGAGCCAATCAGATTGTACGGGTCGTCAGTGATTTCACAGTGGATGTAATAAAACTAAACTCTACAAACCATTAAGTGGTGATGATAATAATAATGGGTACTTAAGAAAACTCATAGTGCACGTTATAAAACTGAGCCGTGTATAAACCATGGTGATAATCAAATATTACATTAATAAAATATAAAGTTCCAAGTTCCAGTGTTGCGATAAACATATGAATGGATGAACTCAGATGTTCTTTGGCAATAAGCTAACAAATTGAAACATTATCTCGCTGAAAGCGGAGGATACCCTTTCACGATAAAACTGGTAGGCGAAAAGTAGTCTCCGCTGGCAATCGTCCCATTTTCCAAAGTGCATGTTCGAGTTTTATATCAGGCGATTCGCACCATATTTCTGGCGCGTAAAATACCGCGTTTGCAGCTTCCAACGAGCTAAGTCGCCCGATGTGCTTCAGTCTTAGCCGAGGGTACAGAGACATTAGGGAGCTTTAGCAACGACGACGGCGACAGCAGCGAGAACTTCAAAAACGCAATAGGTTTGATAAGCAAAACAGCATTTTTGCACGTGCAGCACACTTTTTTG